CACTTGCCTGGTCACTCGCCTGGTCACTCTCTCAGTCACTCGCCTGGTCACTCACTCACTTGCCTACTTGCCTAGTCACTCACCCAGTCACTTGCCTGGTCACTCGCCTGGTCACTCAACCAGTCACTCGCCTGGTCACTCACCCAGTCACTCACTCACTCACTTGCCCACTCGCCTAGTCGCTCACCCAGTTACTCACCTGGTCACTCATTCAGTCACTCGCTTGGTCACTCGCCCAGTCACTTGCCTCGTCACTTGCCTAGTCACTCACCCAGTCACTCACCTGGTCACTCACTCACTCATCCACTCACCTGTCCACTTTCTAACTCGCTCACGCAGCACCGACAGGCGACCCCAGGCCACATTTTGATGGCAAGGCCAGGGTGAGAACAGGGCCAGGGTCAGGGCTGGGAGTAGGGGCAGGGCCAGGGTGGGGGGCAGGGCCAGGGGCAGGGCCAGGGTTGGGGGCAGGGCCAGGGTTGGGGGCAGGACCAGGGTCTGGGCAGGGCCAGGGTGAGAGCAGGGGCAGGGCCAGAGTTGGGAGCAGGGCCAGGGTTGGGGGCAGGGCCAGGGTTGGGGGCAGGGCCAGGGTTGGGGGCAGGGCCAGGGTTGGGGGCAGGGCCAGGGTTGGGGGCAGGGCCAGGGTCGGGGGCAGGGCCAGGGCCAGGGTTGGGGGCAGGGCCAGGGCCAGGGTTGGGGGCAGGGCCAGGATTGGGGGCAGGGCCTGCATGGCAGCTCTGGGTGGCGGCTTGTACCTTCACTTGAGGTCATGTAGGGACCGTTCAGAACGCTCAGCGCCTGAAAGAGAATGACCCACAACAACACAACAACCACCACAATGGCAACAATAACAGGCGATAGGGGGGTGTGGGTGAGTGGGTGGAAGGGTTGGGGGGAGCAATGGGAGTGTTTGTGTGTTGGTGAGTGTAGGCGTGTGCGTGTGTCAGTGTGTGTGGCAAAACAACCCCCTACTTCCTTGCGGTGCCGGACGGGCAACTCTGTCGTGGACAGTGCTGTGGGGGGAGGGCCAATTCCGATTGGCCTCTCCCCTCATGGCGTCTGTGACCACCACAGGGGCTAAACGGGGGCTCTGGACGGATGCGAGGGGCTGGTAACCCCTCCACCTTCAAAAATTTACCAAGAAACCACGAATTAAAAATGTAACAAATAACCTTGTGCCGGAGGTCCCGGAGGGACAGGCGTCTATGACGTCTCCTGGCCAAACCCCAATTGGCGGAGCCAGGAGATTGAATCTTTACCCTCGGGGCTCCTCCAGAAACAACAAAAAGCCACTTCGTGTGGCCACGTGGAATGTTCGAACGCTCACTGCGGAGGAGAGGCTGCCACTCCTCTGTCGGGAGCTGGACCGGTACCGCCTGGATCTCTGTGGCATTCAGGAGGTCCGGTGGACCGGTTCTGGCTCCTGCCACCATGAGGGGTGAACAGTCCTCTACTTGGGGCAGCAGGCTGCCAAACAACAGGGTGTGGCTCTTCTTTTGAACAAAAGAATGAAGGGGGCGTGGAAGTGTGGCGGTGAGGTGTGGGAAGCTGTAAGCCCCAGGCAACTTTGGGCTCGCCTTCCCATCAACCAGAGGCGAGGAGTGGTGGTCGTGGTTACTCATGCCCCCACCGAAGACGAACATACATAGAGGGATGCAGGGAAAGCCGATGAGTCAGATGCCTTCTATGACCTCCTGTCACAGGTGCTGGCTAAAGTGGCCCCTCGGGATAGAGTCATTTTGTTGGGTGACTTCCATGCCCGAGTTGGTCATGATGCTGGCACTTGGTCTGGAGTGATTGGAGGGCATGGGCCAGATCAGCTCAATAACAACGGTAGGAGGCTGCTAGATTTTTGTGCAGCCCATGGGCTTGTAATTACCAACAGGCTGTTCCGGCATCGGCGCATCCACACAACATCATGGATGCATGCCGGGTCCAAGCAAGAACATCTGCTGGACTACATAGTGACGGACCAGCGGATGCGAGCCCATGTCCTTGAGACCAGGACCGACCGTGGAGCTGATCTGCCCTCTGACCATCGACTTGTCATCTGTAAGATGCGCCTGCCATTCTTCCACTCCGGTGGTGGGTGTACACCCAGGACCCCATTCCAACCTAAAGTGGCCTGGTCTCAGTTATCTGATGAAAGTTGCAAGCAAGAATTTAATCATCGCTTGCGGCTGGGGTTGGCATCGTCACCCACTCCTCCTGATGTCGAGGGTAAATGGGCGAGGTTTAGGACTGTCACTCATGCAGCTGCATTGGCTGCTTTGGGAACGCGGTCCAGACCTCCCCAGAGACCCTGGCTGACAGAGGAGGTGTTCAGGATAGTTGAGAAAAAGCGACAGGCCAACTGTCATCGGCTACAGAATCCCACGTCAGAGAATGAGGAGGCTTACCGCAGCCTTCGCTCGGAGGTTCAGAGAGCCGTGAGGCACTGCAAGGATGGGTGGTGGTCGCGGGTTGCTGAGGAGATGGAGTCTGCCTCAGTGGCCCGCGATCACAAATCTCTATTTAACTCCATCAAAAAAGTAACCTGCAGCGCCATACCTATTACCATCATTAGGGGAAGAAACGGTGATCCAATCTCCGACCCCCAGGAACAGGTTTGCAGATTTGCTGAGCATTTCTGTGAGGTCCTGGGGGAGGGAAAATCCCTCAGCCAGGAAAACATCGTGGCACAAAGTGGGGATGACCCTGCTGAGGCAGCGGTGCCTCAAATATTGGAAGAAGTCACCCCCTGTGAGTGGTTGGCTGAGGTGCTATCTGTTGAGGAAGTACTGAAGGCGATCCGGAGTCTGAGACCAGGAAAGGCACCGGGTAGAGACGATCTCCCAAGCGAAATGCTGACAGAGGGTGGCGTTTGTGCACAGACTGCCCTATATGACATAATAACAACAATCTGGACCACTGGATGGGTTCCACAGGATTGGAAGGATGCCCTGGTGGCCCCCCTCTTTAAGAAGGGGGACCGCACAGACTGTAACAACTGCAGGGGCATCTTAGTCCTCAGTGTGCCGGGAAAGGTCCTGGAAAGGATTATTTAACATCGCCTTGCCAGGCAAGCTGAGGAGAGGCTTGCGGATCCCCAATGCGGTTTCAGGAAAGGGCGGTTCTGCACAGATGCCATATTTTCTGTCCATCTGCTATAGCAGAGGTGTAGGGAATTCCAACAAGACCTACATCTCTGCTTTATTGACCTGGTCAAGGCCTATGATACCACCAGTAGGCCTGGGCTCTGGGTTGTTCTTCGTGCTTTTGGAGTCCCTGACCCTCTGCTCACGATCATTAAGGACCTTCATGATGGTGAGCGGGCCCGGGTAAAACTACGTGGCCGGGAGTCAGACCCATTCCCTGTACACCTTGGGGTGCGACAGGGATGTCCTCTGGCTCCCACATTATTTAACATCTATTTTGACCACGTAGTTCGTGAAGCCTTCAATAGCTGTACCGGGGGAATCTCCATTTGGTACAGATATAATGGGAGGCTGATCGATGCCCGGGTGCGGTCAAGGGATGGCTCCCTATTGCTCAACCACGTTATGTATGCTGATGATTTGGTTATAGCTACTCATTCAGAGGCGGAGTTGGAGACGCTGCTGCTGAGACTGGAGCGTGCCACTAAGAGATGGGGCCTTACCATCAGCCCCACCAAAACTAAGCACCTGCCTGGGTATTTTGTACCATCGGACACTCCACCCCCACAACTCCCAATCGGTGATGAGGCAGTTGTGGAGAGAGTGGAGAGTTTCCCATACCTGGGCAGTGTGCTTATGACCGGCTCCAGTTTAACAGCAGAGGTCTCACACCGAATCAGTCGAGCGGTAATATATTTTCATCGGTTGCGTAACGCTGTGTGGAAGCTACCTGGTCTGCTGCTCCGCACTAAGCTTCAGGTCTTCTTGGCCACGGTCATTCCCTCCCTTTTCTACGCTTGCGAAACGTGGAACCCCTAATGGAGCATCTTCGCCAGTTGGAAACATTTAGGCTGGCCTGCCTACGATCCATCCTGGGGTTAACCAGGCTGGATTGTGTGAGGAGCTCACAAATCCTTGAAAGATCTGGGCAAAGTCCCATCGGTGAGCTCCTCCGGCGGGCAAGGCTGCGTTGGCTGGGTCATGTAGCCCGCATGCCCAGCCACCGCATGCCGAAACAGCTTTTGTTCGGCCGGATCGAGGGGGCTAGACGGGCGCGGCACGGGCTAGAGAAGAGATGGAGTGATGTGGTACAGGAGGACGTGGAGCTGAGTGGACTTGCCGATGACTGGTACCAGCGGTGTCAAGATCAGCCTCTCTGGAGGAGGCTCGTGAAGGACGCTACTGGGCAGTTGGAGGCAGTCGCCCTCCAACAACAACGGAGGGCGGAGGAGCGACGCTCACAACAACGAGCGGAGCGCCGGGTGGCTAAAGCACAGCAGGTTGGCACAGTAGGGGGCACAGGTGGTGCACCAGCCAGTCATCTCAGTCAGTCGACCCGTGGCACCTAGGTCTGCCCCGTGACCTCCTGCCAGTGGGCGTTCGACACTTCACATGGCCTCAAGGTGCACATGGCCTGGCACAAGCATCGTGGTGACGTCACCGCGACTTATTGGCGAATGGCGGTTGTTGTTGTTGTGTCAGTGTGTGCGTGTGTCAGTGTGTCAGTGTGTGTGTCAGTGTGTCAGTGTGTGTGTCAGTGTGTCAGTGTGTGCGTGTGTCAGTGTGTCAGTGTGGAGAGCGGTAGTGTAGCGGTTAGCGCGCTGCGCTATGAACCTGGCGACCCGGGTTCGATTCCCGCTCACGGCCAACACCAGTGACAATTATCTGAACCGGTTCTGGGCCCTCCCATAGGTCGACTCAGCCTCAAATGAGTACCTGGTGCGGTGTGTAAACATCGCCACTGGGGATACAAAGGCAGTCGGGCGTGGTGATGGCCACCCACCCCCTCGTGTACCGTTCTGGCCTTCATAGGTGCTCGCTAACAGCACTTGCCCCTACAGTCTGTTAAGGCTATACGGAGGATCGTTGTGTCAGTGTGTGTCAGTGTGTGTCAGTGTGTGTGCGTGTGTCAGTGTGTGTGCGTGTGTCAGTGTGTGTGCGTGTGTCAGTGTGTGTGCGTGTGTCAGTGTGTGTGCGTGTGTCAGTGTGTCAGTGTGTGCACGTGTGCGTGTGTGCGTGTGTGCGTGTGTCAGTGTGTGCGTGTGTCAGTGTGTTAGTGTGTGCGTGTGTCAGTGTGTCAGTGTGTGCGTGTGTCAGTGTGTGTGTCAGTGTGTGCGTGTGTCAGTGTGCGTGTGTCAGTGTGTCAGTGTGTGTGTCAGTGTGTGTCAGTGTGTGCCATGTGTGTCAGTGTGGATGTGTGGGGGGGGGGGCTGTGGGGAGGGGGACGTGGGGGGTGAGGGGGAGGCCGCACCTGGCAGGCGACGAGGTGGAGGAGGAGGAGGTGGAGGAGGAGGTGGAGGAGGAGGAGGAGCCAAGCGGCAGCCGAGGCGGTCGGCAGGGATCGCATGGTCGCGGCGCGGGCCCAGGTGAGCGCGCGTGTGTGTGTGTGTCAGTGTGTGTGTGTCAGTGTGTGTGTGTCAGTGTGTGTGTGTCAGTGTGTGTGTGTCAGTGTGTGTGTGTCAGTGTGTGTGTGTCAGTGTGTGTGTGTCAGTGTGTGTGTGTGTATGTCAGTGTGTGTGTGTCAGTGCGTGTGTGTCAGTGTGTGTGTCAGTGTGTGTGTGTCAGTGTGTGTGTGTCAGTGTGTGTGTGTCAGTGTGTGTGTGTCAGTGTGTGTGTGTGTATGTCAGTGTGTGTGTGTCAGTGCGTGTGTGTCAGTGTGTGTGTCAGTGTGTGTGTGTCAGTGTGTGTGTCAGTGTGTGTGTCAGTGTGAGTGACTGTGACTGTCAGTGTGTGTGAGTGTGTATGAGTGACTGTGAGTGTGTGTGTGTCAGTGTGTGTATGAGCGTATGAGTGAGTGAGTCAGTGTGTGTCAGTGAGTGTGTCTATGTGTGAGTGTATGAGTGTGAGTGTGTGTCAGTGCGTGTGTGAGTGTAAGAGTGTGAGTGTGTGTCAGTGAGTGTGTCAGTGAGTGTGTCAGTGTGTGAGTGATGATGCTCAGGCGCGCAGGGCTTCACCTGCAGAGACCGCCCCGACCAAGCACATGGCGACGACAAGTCAGACGACAAGTCAGACAACAGGTCAGTCGAGAAGTCAGTCGCCAAGTCAGACGACAAGTCAGTCGACATGTCAGTCGACAAGTCAGACGACAAGTCAGTCGACAGGTCAGACGACAAGTCAGTTGACAAGTGAGACGACAAGTCAGACAACAGGTCAGTCGACAAGTCAGTCGCCAAGTCAGACGACAAGTCAGACGACAAGTCAGTCGACAGGTCAGACGACAAGTCAGACGACAAGTCAGACGACAAGTCAGTCGACAGGTCAGTCGACAGGTCAGTCGACAAGTCAGACAACAGGTCAGTCGACAAGTCAGTCGACAAGTCAGACGACAGGTCAGACGACAAGTCAGTCGACAAGTCAGTCGACAGGTCAGACGACAGGTCAGTCGACAAGTCAGTCGACAAGTCAGACGACAGGTCAGACGACAAGTCAGACGACAAGTCAGTCGACAAGTCAGTCGACAGGTCAGTCGACAAGTCAGTCGACAAGTCAGTCGCCAGGTCAATCGACAGGTCAGTCGACAAGTCAGACGACAAGTCAGTCGACAAGTCAGACGACAAGTCAGTCGACAAGTCAGTCGACAAGTCAGTCGACAGGTCAGTCGACAAGTCAGTCGACAAGTCAGACGACAAGTCAGTCGACCGGTCAGTCGACCGGTCAGTCGACAAGTCAGTCGACAAGTCAGTCGCCAAGTCAGTCGACCGGTCAGTCGACCGGTCAGTCGACAAGTCAGTCGACAAGTCAGTCGCCAAGTCAGACGACAAGTCAGTCGACAAGTCAGTCGACAAGTCAGTCGACCGGTCAGTCGACAAGTCAGTCGACAAGTCAGACAACAGGTCAGACAACAAGTCAGCCAAAAGTCAGTCGACACGTCAGTCGCCAAGTCAGACAAGTCAGTCGACAAGTCAGGCAACAAGTCAGTCGACAAGTCAGTCGACAAGTCAGACAACAGGTCAGTCGACAGGTCAGACGACAAGTCAGTCGCCAGGTCAGACGACAAGTCAGACGACAAGTCAGACGACAAGTCAGTCGACAAGTCAGACAAGTCAGACGACAGGTCAGTCGACAAGTCAGTCGACAAGTCAGACGACAAGTCAGTCGACAAGTCAGTCGACAAGTCAGACGACAAGTCAGACGACAGGTCAGACGACAGGTCAGACGACAAGTCAGACGACAAGTCAGTCGACAAGTCAGTCGACAGGTCAGACGACAAGTCAGACGACAAGTCAGACGACAAGTCAGTCGCCAGGTCAGTCGCCAGGTCAGTCGACAAGTCAGACGACAAGTCAGACGACAAGTCAGTCGACCGGTCAGACGACAAGTCAGACGACAAGTCAGACAACAGGTCAGTCGACAAGTCAGACGACAAGTCAGACGACAAGTCAGTCGACAAGTCAGACAACAGGTCAGACGACAAGTCAGTCGACAAGTCAGTCGACAAGTCAGACAACAGGTCAGACGACAAGTCAGTCGACAGGTCAGACGACAAGTCAGACGACAAGTCAGTCGACAGGTCAGACGACAAGTCAGTCGACAAGTCAGTCGACAAGTCAGACGACAGGTCAGACGACAAGTCAGTCGACAAGTCAGTCGACAGGTCAGACGACAGGTCAGTCGACAAGTCAGTCGACAAGTCAGACGACAGGTCAGACGACAAGTCAGACGACAAGTCAGTCGACAGGTCAGTCGACAAGTCAGTCGACAAGTCAGTCGCCAGGTCAGTCGACAGGTCAGTCGACAAGTCAGACGACAAGTCAGTCGACAAGTCAGACGACAAGTCAGTCGACAAGTCAGTCGACAGGTCAGTCGACAAGTCAGACGACAAGTGAGACGACAAGTCAGTCGACAAGTCAGTCGACAAGTCAGACGACAAGTCAGTCGACAAATCAGTCGACCGGTCAGTCGACCGGTCAGTCGACAAGTCAGTCGACAAGTCAGTCGCCAAGTCAGACGACAAGTCAGTCGACAAGTCAGTCGACAGGTCAGTCGACCGATCAGTCGACAAGTCAGTCGACAAGTCAGACAACAGGTCAGACAACAAGTCAGCCAAAAGTCAGTCGACACGTCAGTCGACACGTCAGTCGCCAAGTCAGACAAGTCAGTCGACAAGTCAGACAACAAGTCAGTCGACAAGTCAGTCGACAAGTCAGACAACAGGTCAGTCGACAGGTCAGACGACAAGTCAGTCGCCAGGTCAGACGACAAGTCAGACGACAAGTCAGACGACAAGTCAGTCGACAAGTCAGACGACAAGTCAGACGACAGGTCAGTCGACAAGTCAGTCGACAAGTCAGACGACAAGTCAGTCGACAAGTCAGTCGACAAGTCAGACGACAAGTCAGACAACAGGTCAGACGACAAGTCAGTCGACAAGTCAGTCGACAAGTCAGACGACAAGTCAGACGACAAGTCAGTCGCCAGGTCAGTCGCCAGGTCAGTCGACAAGTCAGACGACAAGTCAGACGACAAGTCAGACAACAGGTCAGACGACAAGTCAGTCGCCAGGTCAGTCGCCAGGTCAGTCAAGTCAGACGACAAGTCAGACGACAAGTCAGACAACAGGTCAGACGACAAGTCAGTCGACAAGTCAGTCGACAAGTCAGACAACAGGTCAGACGACAAGTCAGTCGACAAGTCAGTCGACAAGTCAGACGACAAGTCAGACAACAGGTCAGACGACAAGTCAGTCGACAAGTCAGTCGACAGGTCAGACGACAAGTCAGTCGACAAGTCAGACGACAAGTCAGTCGACCGGTCAGTCGACAAGTCAGACGACAAGTCAGTCGACAAGTCAGACAACAGGTCAGACGACAAGTCAGTCGCCCATCACCCCGGGCCTGTACACGACCACGCGGCAAGCAGCCAGCCTTGGCGCGTGGACCAAACAACAACTCCTGAAGAACTGCACTGGGGTCGTCTCATTGTCTTGCCTGAGGTCACCACGTGACCGACAATGACAAAGATCCCCCGCGTAGCCTTTAACAGATTGCTGGGGCAAGTGCTGTTTAGCGAGCGCCTATGAAGGACATATACGCACACGCGTGGGTGGATGGCCATCACCATGCCCGGCCGCCTTTGTCTCCCCGGTGCTGATTGTTTGTACACCGCAGCAGGGACGCATTTAAGGCCGAGTCGACCTAGAGGGTGGCCCAGGAGCGGTTCGAATATTCGCGCGCTGTTATAGATCGTGAGCGGGAATCGAACTCGGGTCCGCCGGGTGTGGAGCGCAGGGCGCTAACCACTGCGCCACCGCTCCCCATAAACTGACGCGCGCGCGCGCTCGGGATCACGTGGTCCGAGCCACGCGGGAGGCTCTCACTGCTCCTGCCTCAAGGTGAGGGGGGGTGGGGGAGCGGGGGGGAGTGGGGGGGGGGCGTGTCACGTGTCCCCCCCCCCCCCGTAAGTACTGACGCGCGCACACCGAGACACGCACGCGGACGCACGGCACACGAGGGGCGTAGTGTGGGCAGCTTCACTCCCGGCCGCCTTTGTCTCCCCAGTGGCGATGTTTACACGCACGGCACCCGGTACTCATTGCAGGCCGAGTCGTCCGAGTGGAGGCCCAGGACCGGTCCAGATAATCATCATCGTCGGTGTCCCCGAGTGGGAATGGAACCCCGCGGCTTTGGCGCGGCGTCGCGCTCCCCGCTGCGGTGACGCGGAGTGAGAGGCGCGCGCGCGCACGCACGCGCACGCACGCGCCTCTCACTCCGCGTCACCGCAGCTCGCGACCTTGGGCCCCGCGTCTGCAATGAACTCGGGCCCAGCGCGCGTGTGCCTGTGTGTGTGTGTGTGCCAGTGTGTGTGTGTGTGCCAGTGTGTGTGTCAGTGTGTGTGTGTGTGCCAGTGTGTGTGTGTGTGCCAGTGTGTGTGTGTGTGCCAGTGTGTGTGTGTGTGTGCCAGTGTGTGTGCCAGTGTGTGTGCCAGTGTGTGTGCCAGTGTGTGTGTGTGTGTGCCAGTGTGTGTGTGTGTGCCAGTGTGTGTGTGTGTGCCAGTGTGTGTGTGTGTGCCAGTGTGTGTGTCAGTGTGTGTGTGTGTGCCAGTGTGTGTGTGTGTGCCAGTGTGTGTGTGTGTGCCAGTGTGTGTGTGTGTGTGCCAGTGTGTGTGCCAGTGTGTGTGCCAGTGTGTGTGCCAGTGTGTGTGTGTGCCAGTGTGTGTGTGTGCCAGTGTGTGTGTGCCAGTGTGTATGTGCCAGTGTGTGTGTGTGTGCCAGTGTGTGTGCCAGTGTGTGTGTGTGTGCCAGTGTGTGTGCCAGTGTGTGTGTGTGTGCCAGTGTGTGTGCCAGTGTGTGTGCCAGTGTGTGTGTGTGCCAGTGTGTGTGTGCCAGTGTGTGTGTGCCAGTGTGTGTGTGCCAGTGTGTGTGTGTGTGTGTGCGAGTGTGTGTGTGCCAGTGTGTGTGTGCCAGTGTGTGTGTGCCAGTGTGTGTGTGCCAGTGTGTGTGTGTGCCAGTGTGTGTGTGCCAGTGTGTGTGCCAGTG